ACGTCATAAATAGAACGCGGCAGCAGTTTACTGTCGGGGATTTGTCGTGTCGCGCCGCATCCAGTGTAGACAGCATCACTGATTATAATGAGTTCTATAGACTGATCTATATATAATAAATCTCTATTATAGATCAGTGGTTCTATAGTGTTTTGTCGTGCCGCACCGCTTTCGTCCGGTGTAGACACGGTGTTAGGAATCGTGTTTTCCCTTATAAGGATTCACGCTTCGGGCACACCCCCTAACTCTTTCCCCACAACCGATTAATCAACCGATAGTTTTTATAATGGATACTGAACGAAAACTAAAATAGTTCTTTACTATTAAAAAAAAAATGCTGAACCATACTTTGTAAATTAATAAAAATATTCATATTAAATATTAATATAAGTTTTACAGCCTAGAGTGAAGTCATTATGTACATTAACAACGATTTGGGACAAATATAATGTAATTTAATGGCGCTCTGTGGCGTGGCAGGATTTCTTTTGGTTGAATCAACATATCAATGTGTTTTCTCATGTCATAGCTTTAAATCTGCAACTTTGCTGGCTAACAAATGTACTAATGTGACCAGCTGGATATAAACTAATGCAAATAGATGATAAGGTAACAATCGTGACATTAAACTTTTGGGTCAGACTTGCGTGTGTTTTGGTCACATTGTTTTAACTGCTTGAGGTAACACTAATGTTCGCGTCAGCCTTGAAAGCAAATGGCTGATCTTTCTCTACTAATTCAACATCTAGTCAACAAATTAATTACATAGTAATGATATGAAAACATGCACTATAGTATACTGTATACACACTTTCGTTGTCCCGCTCTGTGCAGCGCGCAGTGTCACGTGTCAAAACAAACAGCACGAGTCGTCAGTGATTCCGCCTCTAGAGGCCGCTCCCGTACCGTATAATCATTAGAGACTAATGACAGTGGACCTTTTTAGCCGCTCCAGCAACGGACGCAACCTGGAAAAACTATCGGCATGGGTTTTTGCGATAGCCAATAGTTCCAGCAATCAGCTGTCGGTACCAATGAATCGACCTCTGATAATAATAATAGTGCATGACCTCAGAGACAGTTTAAGTAGGAGACAGATCACTCGTAGAAAAATACCATGATGGCCACCAAGTGAACTTTTGCTGCCATGTGAACCAGCATGCCATATTCATACCAGTATATTTCTGTCTGTTTACCTGGCTGGTGTCCATCGTGGCCCCTGAATGCAGGTAGGGTCAATTAGAGCGCCTGACCACACAGCTACAGGCCCTTAATTGAATAAACAAGCCCGTGTTCACACAGTGAGACGATGTGGTGTCAGTGAGCATGCTGTGTGGGCCCTGTGCCCCTGGAGTGAGGCTTAAAGGTGACATATCATGAAAATCTGACTTTTCCAGGTTTTAAGTGCTATAATCAGGTCCTCAGTGCATCTACCAACCAAGGAAACGTGAAAAAGATTAACCCAGTAACTTTGTTTTGGTAAGCCTTTTTCTGCAAGCGTCTGAGAAAACAAGCGCGTCAGATTTCGCTCCCTTGGTGACGTGGCAAAGGGATCTCATTATAATATTACCGCACCTTAATCTGTAAGTTTACACCCATGGCGCCATTATTGTGTTTTCGCAAGCAACAAGGGTGTACCGGTTCTAATGCCATAGCAAAAGTTTGAGCAAAACATGCTAACTGTTCTGTCATTGGCTGCACAGTCAAAGTATCACTGGCTCTTAACGAGCTCCACTGTCCAGCAGGGTGCAGGTCAAGTCCTCTCTGTAACAGCCTTCATAAAATAGAGTCCACCTTAAGGACATGTGCAGATATTTCCCAAGTGTCATTTATTTCCTGTTTGAGGTCCACCAACGCTTATCTTCCCTGTTTTGTTTCTCTCTTGCTGTTTTTCTTCAGATGGAATCTCCGGTCTCCACCCCGGCCCCTCCGCCACTTCACCTCCTCGCCTCTATGGGAAACAGTGACATCGCCTCACCTTGTGAGCAGCTTATGGTGCGAACACGGTCGGTGGCTGTCAACACATCTGATGTGGCCCTGTCCACTGAGCCAGAGTGCCTGGGACCCTGTGAGCCGGGCACCAGCGTCAACCTGGAGGGCATTGTGTGGCAAGAAACTGAGGACGGTAAGAAAACAAACTGTAGAGCTTGTGATATAAGCTGAGTTTACAAATGTTCAATAGCCAGACTTTTGATTGAATCTGCGAAAAATTTGGCCCTCACTATAGTTTATTCTGGCCAATAGCCACCTTGGTTAAGAAGGAGAGGCAGTCTGATTGACGTGTAAAGCAGCCAAGCTGGTTTGTGTTGATTACACCACAATAATCTGAGCAGCAGGGACAATAAATAAATACATAGTGGCCATGATTGGTTGTAAAGAAAATGTGAATAATTTGAATAGATCTCCATAGATCTGAATTTGTGTCCATCCAGACATATTAAGATATAATTTAAAATATTGTATTTCTGCTCATGGATATCTAGTTCACTCCAACTAAATTCTGGTTACTAACATGCAACAGTGATTAGTTGTTCCTCAGAGCTCATTGTATCAACACAGAACCAGTGTTTCCAAGTGGAATGATAAAAACAAGCCAATCATATTTTGTATGTGTACAAGCAAGTGTAACTTCGCTGGCGCAGTGTTTGAGTAGATAAAAAGGAGATAAAAACATGGTAGCAGTATTTAAAAAAAAAACTGAATTAGGTCAAAGATTCATAGAACTGTACACACCCTATTTTCTGTGCACAACTTTTCATTAGTTCATTAGTTTATATGGATAAAAGTTTAGCAATTAAATAAAAAAAGAAAGCAGTGAAGGAACCAATTAAGAGTAGCAAAAACTGAAACTTTGTTGATTCCTGAATCAAAATACTATTCACAGAAGTAGATACTTAAAGTTTTCTATTTGTCAGCCTCCAGCAAGTGTTTCTGATAGAAGACAGAAAATTGGCAGCAAGTTACAGTGTTGCTTCAGAACAACACAGTTACAGAGATTAACAAAAATGGTCCAGTTTGAAGTCCTGGGGAAACAAAAAACATTTAGAGTCTGTGTGTTTGGAACATGAGAGGTTGACCACCTTGTTGAGGAGTCCGTCTGTTTTGCTAAGCCATTTGTTTAATCAGAGTCAAGTGCACATCACTGATCATTACTCAAGTGAAAATATGTTCTGCTATTTTTCACAACAAGGCAAACAATTTTTGTTATTGTTAAAACATTAGAATAGCTATATATACAGAGGTGCACATACGTTTTTCAGCCCGGTTCTCATGAGAGCACCTGGAGATTTGGTGTGACCCATTAAAAATAACTATAAAAAATAAAACAATTAATAATAGTAAATAATAGTATTATTGAAGTTTATTTAGTTAGTTCCCCCCCCCCCAAATAAAATAATAAACAAAACAATAAAGAAAGTGTGATAATACTATTATCTTTAAAAATAAAAAGTGAGTACTAAATAAAAGTTCATTTATAGTACATTTAAAAATACAATGGTAATATCGACATTTTCATTTTTTTTAAATGCCATTGATGAAAATTATGACATTATTTGTCAACGAAATTAACACTGCATTCTTGAAAGTGGCATGTTTAATGAATAAAATAATTCCATTTACTTCATTACTCCGCTTACACCAGTAAAAGAGTGTGTATGTACGGTCTTGTTATGGATACAGTTCAGATTCTGCTGAAGTTAGTTCAGTGTTGGTTTAGTTTAGATCAATAACAGTGTGAAGTTAATCAGATATAAGCAGTTCTACAAAAGGCTGCAGTGTTGTTATTCAACTTAAATTAGTTCGATATGTTCGATATGGGCAGTTAGGTGTGTAGAAAATGGCGTACGCACAAAATGGGCATTGAAATGTTTGTATGGCATTTTCTATGCAAATTTGGACATATAGAATTAAATATCCCACTCTCATTAATGCACTCAAATGACATAAAATCATTATCCAAATATTACTTGCATTTATCACACCATTTACACATCAGGCCCCAGGACTGGAAATGGGTATTCAAGTTTTAAATGGTTGATGTTGTGCAGCACTGCACAAACATTGGATACAAATAAAATTATTGATGGCGCAGTTCTAGATCTGGGATACTTTTAACTTCACCCATTACAATGTGACATATGAGGGCTTACACGCTAGATTACCATGGTTTTTGAGCCTACAAGTTCCAAATAGATTCCATGTTCAACTGATACTTGTTCCAGCAGCACTTGACCAGCAGGTGTGTGAAACAAGCAATCATAACAACATCTTGGTAAAAAAAACAAAACAAAAAAAACATATCCCCCCATACATTTATCATTTTACTTCAAATATATACAAGGGCTGAAAATGAAAAATAAAGGTGTAAAAAAAGCATAGGTCGAGATCTGAATAATTTTTAATTAATTAATAATTAATTTTATAATTAAGTTAAAATATAATTGTTTAATATTTAAATTAAAACTATAATAATTATTGTATTTAAATAAATAAGCTTGTAAAGCTTGCCTGTTCTGTTAGAGTACTTATAAGAGTAATCTTTACAGTACACAAATACCAAAATAATTTGTTCCTGTCCTCATTTAATATTAGTCTCTTCCTGAATTTCCCCCCAGGGATCAATAAAGTACATCTATCCTATATATCTTAGTTGAAAACACCTGCTTCTTAATGATTTCAGCCCCTTGTTCTGTTAACAGCTTCTTAACCAGAGCAGTACATGGTGCCTTGCGCTTGCAGATGAATTTATTCTAACAGGATTTGTACAGGTTCTGTAGGTTTGATTTTTTTTTCATCCCATCTAATCATAGCCCACTGCAGAAACATCAGTGTGTTCTACTCTCCACATCCTCAGTCTTGATTGTCGAGCATGAAAAGAAAAAATCTCCCTAAAATCCCTAAATGAGAGCAGATCTAGTCTATGGATAGGCATTGGAGTATGTGCCGCCCACACTCTGCCTGCTGCCATCCTCCCAATGCCGCCATATAAAGGGCTGCCTCATCAGCATTCAGAGTGCATTGGCTGTCTAAGTGTTTTCTATTCCTCTTGCCATGGGCACAGTGTGTCTGATTCACCCTGCTCCTCTGTGGCCACTCTTGTGTGTGTGTGTGTGTGTCTCTGACATACGAGAGGGAACGTAGTTGAAGGGTCAAGATGGAGAGAAAAACAGAACCGTTTGTGTTTCCATTCACAGCCCTGCCCAACCAGTGCCACACTTCCACAACATCAGCTCAATCTTTTTGCAGGACGGGTCCCAAACACAAGGCTCCAATTCATCTGCTCTTTCACTTTATAAAGGGGGAGCCATTGACGTGCAGGTGTTATCCACACCCTCTCTCGCTCTCTCTGGGATGGTTTCACTGGTGTGCATCTCTCCTTTTGATGTGTTATTTTTTTCTCATCGGGGTGTTGGGCAGATCTGTATCGTGGTGACATTTTGTGTGGGTGGAAAGTAAGTAGAGCAGCAAGATCCCGTGGCAGGGAACAGATCTCTCAACCACTTAGAGATGTCTTTCCACTGTGCTGCACTCTCTTAAAGATGGTGCAGAGAGTCCACCCACACTTCTCATAAGGATGACTTCCTAAGTCCTAACACTGCCAATGTGCGAATGTGATCTGCCTTACCGCAGAGTTTAGATCCAACCCTGATGATGAAGGTTTTAGGGTTTGTTAAAAGTTACTGGTGTGTTAGAGTTAACTTTGCAGGTTGGTAGATCTCTATTGTTGCGTTCAAGTACTCAGAGTTGGGAAGTCGTAATTATGACCGCAGATGCGTTCTTATAACTTAGATCAGAGCCAGATGGTGATGTACCTTTTCTGCATAAAATTCAACAAGATTTTTTAACTATATAAACTATATTTTAACTATATAAATAATGAATAAAAAAATGCGTATCAGGTGTGTTATATGTAAATATATCAGGTGCTGTAAATATATTCTATTATAGTTGTACAATACAATGGTATTTTGAACATGCCACTTAGCTTTATTTTAAATGAAAAAAAAAAAGTCATTCTTTTTAGCAAATTTACCATCAATACCGATGCTGCATCCGTTGCGTCCAACATGTTTTCTCACTGACATTCCACACTCGGAAGTCGGAATCACAGGGCTTAAAATCCTTTTCCTTAGTTTCCTACTGGTAATTGCAACTTTGTGGTGGTGACGTTCATGTGAGTTCAACTCGTAGTCATCAACTCGACTTGAAGGATTGAGCACCCATTCGACTTGTTTGGAATCATTACAGTGGTAGTCAGTCCATTTCTTATTTTGGGTCTCCCTTATAAGCACACCTAATTTAACTAATTAGCTTGTTCGAAGACTGCTCTAAGATCTAAAGTAGTTCAAAATGAGACACCTAAAATATGCAGTGCAGCTGGCCTATAGAGATCTAGAAACCCCACAACATTGCCATGCTTTTATTTTATTTTTTATTTAAATTGTCTATCACTAATAATAGTGTGTTGCCTGTAGGACAGTTCAAGCAATAAATGCTAAAGCAATACTTTGGAAAATGTTTTTAAGTAGGTAGGAATGGAATTCTCCAGATTGTCCAGCTTTGTTCAAAACCCATTTTCTATGTAGGCAATAGGCAGACATGTTCAGCTCTAATTCAATTGAATTGAAGATTGCAAGATCAAATTTCTATAGCATATTATGAATCAGTAATAAAATCGGACAGCAATGGGATTATAGGTTTATCCTCTTTAGCTCATTTCACATTTTTAGGTTGTACATTTTAGGTTCTAGATTAAATAAACTATCAAAGGCGATTGGCAGGACTTCCATTTATGTAGCCGCTATATTGAGCATTGTATTCTCTTATTCATTGTTCTATAAGTGATCGATCTCCTCCTCATACTATTTCTGGTTTTACTCTATCATGTTGCTAAGCTAAGAACCCAGTACTCTAATAAAACAAAGTGTGTTCTAATAACTTAGATCAGAGCCAGATGATGTACCTTTTCTGCATAAAATTCAACAAGATTTTTTAAACACTAGTCTATAAAATAATTAATAAAAAATTTGTTTTGCTTAATTTTTATTCAATTTGTGAAGATGCTGTAAGTATATTGTATTATAGTTGTACAATACATGCCACTTAGTTTTATTTCAAATCATTGAATTGCATGACTTGTTGCATCCACTAAGGATGCATGCAGTGCTACCTTAGAATTTGTCCAAAAACAAGCTATCTTGTAGGGGAGCATAATTTAGAGTGGCATTTGTGTCAGGAGAGCACCTAGTAAAACAACAAATGTTGCCTAGGAAGCTTGCTGAGCTTTAGAATAGAGCATCCATCTTCCATGACTTATTGAGGATCAAGTTGTTGCTGAGTCGCAGTGTCCTGACTTCCTCAAATCAACAGTGCCATGCTTTACTTCAGCCAAAGCCCAGTGTGGAAATCTTATCTAGTGTACTGCAACCTTTTATTTGTGGATGGACATATCAACTTGCTCATGTTTCAGCTCAGTGCGTGAATCCCACAATGGCAGGAGGTTAAGGGCAGACAGCTCTCGGTTAATGATGAAACAGTCAGAGGCAGATTGGAGCAATATTTCTAGGCATCACTCTGACACAAATCCCCTCTGCAGGACGCTGGAAGCAGACTAGGGTTGTGTTGGTGTGGCATCCACTCTCACAAGCCATGCATGCTGATGCCTCCAAATGTCAGCCCTAAATCTTCTGAAAGTGTATTGCTCTTGAAGTAGAGCCCAGAATGCCCTCACCCACAGACTATGAAGGGCTCAGTGCCAGCAAACACAATCGTGCCAAACAGCATGGCTCATATACCAGTATCCTGATTCAGCCCTCTTTCCACGGCCACCTCAACAAGCTAATGGATCAATGTGCTATTTTATTGCTGGAATTACATTTTGGTTTAAGTAAAACACAGCTGATTTCGTCATTACCTTTTCTCACTGAATTTGCGTATTTGGCTATTCCTTGATTTCACTGTGGGGTCAATAAAGTGCATGTATCTTATATAAAACTCAATCAAACCAGCCTCCTGATGATTTCAGGCTCTTGTTCTTTTAAAGGGGTCATTTGATGCTACATGCACTTTTACAAGTTGTTTGAACTGAAATGTATGTTGGCAGTGTGTGTACACAACCACCCTATAATGATAAAAATCCACCCAGTGGTTTTTTTAATCTACTAAAATCTTTACCCCTTTCTCAAATCGAGCCGATCTCAGATGCCTGTCTGTGTGACGTCACACAGACAGGCCCCTCCCACGATAGTTTGACTGACAGTAGTGTTTCAGCACAGACTGGACTTGATTTTTTTGACAGGGTAAAAAAAAGGGGTTTTTTGCACCACCATTGAGAAATGTTAACCAAACTATGTTACAGACTTTTCATTAAGACCCTAAAGAATCATATCAACTTGTGGAAAATGGGCATCCAATGACCCCTTTAAAGAACCCATGAAATCTCTGGACAAGTGCAGTTTTTTCCTGTGCTGATGCATTTCCTATTGAAATGGAATGTTGTGGATGGCAACTCCCTTGTTTTTAAAACATCACTAGGCTTTAGTTACGTAACATCAGCCATGAACCATCATATTTTTATTATGAACCATATGTTATATTTGCAATTGTGTTATCCTTACTTGATGGGAAATACTTAAACCAGCCTAAGATGGTTTTCTGGTCTTAGCTTGGTTAAGCTGGTCTCCTTGCCTGTCCAGCTAAAAAAACAATCATGACAAATCTATGTAGACCTGGTGTAGCCTTTAAACTCCAATAGAGCTGTTTTTAATGGAGTGTAAGAGTGCAGCAGCGCACATGCCAAGCTTCTGTTTGTTCCACTTTAGCTACTGAAGGGCATCAGAGGTGAAACGCCGGCCATTTAGCCTCATTTAGCCTGGGTTCAGACAGGTGGCCAGAGAACCGCTAATGACTGCAAGTGAAATAGGAAGGGGCCCCCGCTAATGTGCTCTTCGACTGACCTCCACTGACATTTTTCAAACGAACGTTCATGAATTCAGCTTTCACATTTGGATACGTTTGGTGGAAAACAAGGTTCATTATTTATTTATTATTTATAAAAATATATATATACTACTAAAAAGACACTCCTTCTTAAAAAGCAATTTTCTACAGATTTTGTTTATTTCATTTAATTTAAAAATGTTCATTTAGTGTACTTAGTAAACTGAAGTTTCAGTATACTTACAACATTTAACATCATAATGACTTATCTTAAATTTATTAGCCTGACTGAAGTCATATCAAGGTTACACAACGTTATTCTGCCTCTCATGACCTATTAAGGGCATATAATTGTAATGTGTTATTGATTTTGCCTGCTATTATGGTAGTGCAAAATCACAGAAATATCCAGTATTTACCTGTCCGAGCTTCTGTAGCAAAACCTCTGAATCACTGCCAGACACAAGCATTTTCATTTGCTTCAGCTGTTTTCACACAATTGCTAACCATTTGCAGAGGCGGCTCACAGTACTGCAAAGTCAGATGGAGGACACCATCAAACAATTTTCCTCCCAGAAACAACACACAGCTTTTCCTTACAGCTTTTAGCTGGTGTAATCATGAAGTGCACAGTAAAAATAGCAGGGCTGCTTTGAGAGTGCTGGCCTTAGAAAACCTCCATTTGCACTATTTAAATGGGAATTGTGGCTTTTGCAAGGACTGTGTGCGGAATATTGGTAATGAGGTGGAGAAGCAACCAGATGAGTAGTGCTCATGAATCAGAAAACTGACATTATAACTGTACAGTATTATTGTGTCATTGAGTCGCTGTATAGATAACGGAGATATTCTTACATTATATTAAGGGTCCTCTTTATTTTTTACAGGTATGCTGGTGGTCAATGTTACTTGGCGGAACAAAACGTATGTCGGAACACTTTTGGATTGTACCCGTCATGACTGGGCTCCTCCAAGGTATGTGAAGTGTTTTTAACATCAAATCAAGAAAATCATATATTCCTCCCTAGGATACGAGTCTCTGCTTGTCAGTCCCCTTTCCTTCCTACCACATCAGTACTCCCTCTGGACTAGCAGTAAGCCAGGTGTATCATCATAAACCTTAGGGATGAGGCACACTATTAAAAACATACACATCACCAAGCCTATCAGGTGATAAGAATAGAATTCCACCTCTGACTGGATGCATGAATCTAAATAGTATGTTTATTTAATTTAATAGTTTGAATATCCAAATCTTTTTAAATCAAGTCGTTTAGAATGACTTTATTATTAAAGGCTTATATTTTAGTTGTATTTAAATATGCTAAAGTGTTAATAGTTACACTGTATGAAATGTGCTGAAAGTACAAATCTAAATGTTGCACTTATTTGGTGTTTTAATTGCTGAAATTGAAAAAGTATCAGTAGCATGTTTATAGAGGTTTAAACGTGTAAAGGATTTTTTCTATATTTTACCAAATTTCATCGAATTTATCTTTTTAGACACTTGACAGCCTTTAATTTAATCCGTGTCATCGCACCAAATTATTATTATTACCGTAATTGTGAAGATCTTGTAAATAATCTTTATTTTTCTTAAAGGTTCTGCGAGTCTCCCACAAGTGACCTAGAAATGAGAAACGGACGTGGCCGTGGTAAAAGAATGCGACCCAATAGCAACACCCCAGTCAACGAGAACAGCAACTCGTCTGATAATAAGGGCAGCAACAACAGCAAGACCAGAGCAAGTTCCAACAGCAAGGGTCGGCGCGTAAACCAAAACTCCTCTGAGCGCAGGACTCCGCCCAATAGCAACACAGAGGACATAAAAGCCAGTCCCTCCTCAGCCAGTAAGCGCAAGAACAAACCTGCATCAGACATGGAGCCCAACTCTAGCTCTGAGGATTCTAAAGGCAACAAGCGTATGCGCACAAATTCAAATGGTGGAATGACCTCCTCTGCACTCCCAATTCCTATCATCAAAACTGAGTCCCTTCCTCCTCCTTTAGACCGAACCTGTCCCTCACCTGTACTGATTGACTGCCCGCATCCCAATTGCAACAAAAAGTACAAGCACATCAATGGCCTGAAGTACCACCAGGCTCGTGCTCATAATGATGACGATATTAAGTTGGACATGGACGGGGACAGCGAATATGGGGAAGAATCCTCTCTCCACCCAGAGCCAGGAAGTTGCAACGGAGCTTCGATTACACAGAAAGGCTCTCTCTCCCCAGCACGTTCTGTCACACCTAAAGGAAGAGGTTTTGATGCTCAAAGTCCATCTCCTTCTCCTGGGAAGTTTGGTTCCAAGTCAAAGAAAAAGAATGGTGATGCTGAAACAGATGTTTGTGGCACACCTTTGGAGGGTTGTGAGGAGGGGCCTTGTGTCACTGCTGATGAGGCTAGCAATGACGGCATGGAGGACAGGAAGTCCAAAAAGCCAAGCAGCAATGTCAAGTCTGACAAGCTGTCCCAGAAAAACATGAAGTCTTCCAGACCCATGGCTCCATCCCTCCCTTCTCAGCAGATGTACTCTTTGCAGCCAACATCATTTAGTGGTGGAAGCCCCAACCATCCTCCAGGGATGGCCAACATGTTGCAGGGCATCCCCAAGAGCCCCCAGCTAAAAGGCATTCAGTCAAAGTTGGGTGTAACTGGGGACTCGTCGCCAATTAATCCAGCTTTGAGCAGCTCCAAGGACAAAAAGAAAAAAGACAAGAAAAAGAAAGATTTGGGCAAGGATGCAGACAGTCCCAAGCTCCCAGGAAAGAGTGGGAAAACTGAAGAGGGGAAAAGCCCATACTCTGAGTCCTCTGACCCAGGAAGCAGGAGTGAGGGTCATCTCAATGGCTCCTCAGACCCTCATCAAAGCCGCCTTGCTAGCATGAAGGCAGAGGCGGATAAGATATACAGCTTCACGGATAATGCTCCCAGTCCATCCATCGGGGTGGCCAGTCGTGTGGATAGCAGCGGACAGCCTCTCACTCCCCTTCACGCCGTCACCCAGAATGGGGCAGATAGCTCCTCGGTAAAGACAAACAGCCCGGCATACTCTGACATATCTGATGCCGGGGAGGATGGGGAAGGCAAAATGGAAGGGGCCAAAGGTAAAGCGGAAGATCAGTCAGGCAGGGACAGTGCGAAGAAGGCACTATTTCCCTCTCAGGCATCCTCTAAGGATTCTGCATATTATGCTAGCTATGACAACTACTACTCTCCCAGTTACACCCACTCTAGCCCCGGTGGCGCTACTGCTGGTGGGCCTCTGCCGGACGGGCAAGCTGTGAAACTGAAGAAGGAAGATGAGCTAGAATCGCCAGAGGAGAAGATGAAGGTGGACGTGCAGGATGAGCGCAAAGCTGAGATCGCTTCAAGTCAGCCACACCAGCAGCAAGCCTCTGTCATTCAGCAGCGCTCCAATATGTACATGCAGCCACTCTACTACAACCAATACTACGTCCCCCCATATGGATACCCAGATCAGGTTTATCACAACCACCTCATGAACACTAATCCAACTTACAGGCAGCAGTATGAGGAAAGGCAAAGACTCATGTCTGAGCAGCAGAGGTCTGCTGAGAAAAAGCCTGATTCAGGTGTAAAAGACAGGGAGGCCTCTCTGAAGGAGGACTGGAAACAGAAGGGCCCTGTTCCTCCCAGCCTAACAAAAGCCCCAAGCCTTTCAGACCTGGGAAAGCCACAGGCCCCTGGCAAGCAGAGAGACACTTCCTCTGAACCTGCCAAGACAGTCATCATCCCTAAAGGGGAGGAGGCTAAGCTGCAGCCACAGCAGGCTGAAGGGCTTAAAATGAAGCTCAGTGAAGCTGGCCATCATGGAAAGGATGACTCAAAGGCAAGTGTGGAGTCTGCCAGGCTGGATATGGAGCAAGCCATGTGGTACAGACAGGTGAGGCAAACATGTGATCCTTGAACAAAATGACTGCACAGTTTGCAGGCTAGAGGGATAACTCACCCACAGATGAAAATTTAGTCATCTTTTACTCACCTTCATGTCATAAGGGCCTTTCGCACCGCTTTAGTTCCAGAACTAAATGTACAGTACTAAAGTACTGGGACGATTTTGCACAAACTATTTCCCAGTACCATTTAAAGGGTTGCATTCGCACTGACAGTGTGTACTAGGAAGTGACGTAAGCCGGTCGACAGCGACGTCATTTGTGCGTGGCGTTCAACGTGACCAGGGACTCTGAAACGGACAAAAACAAGCACAATTAAAGTCTTCTAATGTGAAATGCAAGACCCATCTGGTCTTTGAGTACTATTGGGAGAATGTATTTTAAAATGTAAAAACACAATTTCATAAGGGTAAGCTTAGCAGTCGTGGCCTAATGGTTAGAGAGTCGGACTTGTAACCCAAAAGTCGCAGGTTCGAGTCTCGGTGGGGGGAGTGAATGACCGCGCTGTCTTCAACTTTCAACACCACGACTGCTTGTGAGACCCTTGAGCAAGGCACTGAAACCCCAACTGCTCCCCGGGTGCTGCAGCAAAAATGGCTGCCCACTGCACCTGGTGTGTGTGTGCGCACTTGGATGGGTTAAATGTAGAGCACAAATTCCGAGTATGGTACACCATACTTGGCTACATGTCACGTCACTTTTTTATTACCTCTCAAACCCATAACTTTAAGTTCTATCTGTTTCCAGTACCCTGACAGTCAGAGACTGCCAGATGAGGACCGAGACCGGGAGCGGGACAGAAAAGGCAAAGATGAGAGGCCTAGGCCGAAAGACAGCAGCTCCAAAAAAGATATTAAAGATGGAACTGATGGTCCATGTCCTCCCAGCGCTGAGGACCAGCGAAGTGGAGGGAAAGATTCCCGGCCCAATGCCCATATACCTTTCAGCTCCCCCTTACCACAGCACCAACCCTACCTACATTACATGCATGGATATCCTTTTGGGCAAAGCTACGATACCAGCCATCCTGGATACAGAGGCATGTCCTCCGTCATGATGCAGAACTACCCAGGTAAGACAAATAATAACATCTGAATGGTGATATTCATATACTATTATTAGCATATTGTCCTTAAAAAACAACAGTGCCTACTTACTAGTAAACCTTGTTGTGTAACGATTGATTTGCACGGTTTGAACAACAACAAGTACAGAAAGGTGCAAAGGATTGCGTGGAAGACACATTTTGAGTGTGCAGTCGTCTTGCGTGTAAAATCGAGCTTGTGTAGCTGGAAGTGTTGGCATTCATGTACTTGCATAAAGCATGATTTGAGCCTTAATGTGCAGAAAAAGTACATGATAGCACTCTTATAAACTAGAAAAACAGTATGGTATTCTAATCTATCTTTAGGGTCCTATCTGCCAGCGGGATACCCTTTCTCCCCTTACGGCAGTAAAATGGGCAGTGGAGAAGAGGGAGAGAAATCTCGCTCCAGCCCCACAGTCAGCAGCAAGTCGGCTTCAGAGTCCAAAGCCTTGGACATGCTACACCAACACGCCAACCAGTACAAGAGCAAATCGCCCACTGTTGCCGAAAAGCCCTCCCATGAAAGGGAGCGAGGAGGAGGCGACCGAGAACGAGAGCGGGAGAGAGAATTAGATCGACCGCGTTCATCTCCTTCCCAACGCATAATGCCACCACACCACCACCTAGGCTATCCCCTTGTAGCCGGGCAGTACGATCTGTCTTATGCCACAGGTACTCTTTCACATTAACTTGTAAAATAAAGTATGAAAATTCAGACTGTTTTGAGATGGTTGTAGGTGAAGCTCACAAAGCCTGCCTAGAATGTCATATCAATTCCCCAAATCTTGACTGAAATGAGAGAAAAAGGCGCCTATAGCTGCTATAAAACTGTGCCAATTCCACAAAGAAAACTCTGAGTAAACAACATCTTTACTGGATGTTCCTTAATTGCAGGCCTTTCATCGTCAGCGATTGTTGCCAGTCAGCAAGCCTCAGCCCATTCCCTGTACCCACCAGCACGGAGGTGAGAATGGTAAGAGAAAACAAAGATCAAGGAAAGCCGGCAGGAGGATTGGATTGTGGCCAAACAGCGAGTGAATCACATTAATCACAGTAAAAATTGACCACAGTAGTTGGATGTGTATCCCCATTTCTGCTTTCATGTCATGTGCAATGTAAAAGCTTGTTTTGATACCCAAGCTTACAAAGAGGTCTTTATAATTGTTCCACTTGCTTTGAGCCCCTTCTCTTTAAAGCTTCTGTAGAACACCATCTGTTTCAGAGCATTATGATTATTTAAGGCCCCCTAGATTGAGGCTAGCGCTTTTAGGACGGCAGCATTGCCAACACATCAGAAGCCTATAGTGACCTCTGGTGGAGAAACATGTAATAACATCATGGGGAGACTGTATGGGATTAGACACGTTTTATAATAAATGATAAATATTATAATAATATAGCTTTTTTATTTATTTATAATGTTACATCAGTTATGCATTTTATTAGTTTATGTATATGTTTATAATATATTTACATTTATAATAATTAACTGTTTATAGATTTAATTTAATTACCAAAGCCGATTGAACTTATGCTGTATTCTAACCAGCGCTTTCTTGTGTTTTCTTTTCTTTCTTTAGGGAAACCTGATGGTCTCGCCCTTCTTTACAAATAATCATGTGACTGGATCACATGGGGAAGTATATGGAGTTCATTTAGACATCAGTTGAATGGTGTTTCTATATTTGTCGTTTTTCTGCCGGAATGTGTGGCAGATTGATGTTCTCCTAGTATCTGTACCTCGTACCCCACTACAGACTGTGAGACCAGGTTCAAAGCCATCCTGCCCTGCGCAAAGCCCAGCTGGCCACTGAACTGTGCCTGTGAACTGGTGAGGAATGATTGAAAAGCAAGGACTGTGATTCCGCTCACCCGATGCAGGCTGTGGCCAGACAAGAGGCAAGGGCTCGAGGGGACACAAGAACACAAAGACTGAAAATAGTTTTATCACACTGAGATAACGAAAGTTGTTTCCCTTTTTTATTTTAGTTGGCATCGTCACTGAAAAAAAGAAAAAAAATCAGTTTGTCCCACGGTTTTTGAATTGTTGTTCTCTAGATACCACCAGTGAAAGCTGCAGATATTATCTAGCAACTCTGTCTTTCTGCCAGTGGTTCCTAAATGGTTCTCATTGCAACATGCCTCAAGACTGCTCTGTTATTTTCTCATGATTTTTGTATATTTTTCCAAGTCTCTCTTCTCTATCATCAGCATGGTTCCATGTACCGAGAATGACATCAATGTTTTATTTGATCATTATTACTTTTTTCAAAAAAGTTCTGTTCTTAGAACCAGTAAGTTAAAACTGTACTGCGTTCCGGTAACCATCATGCTGTGTTTTAGCCATATTCAGCAGTATCATCCAGCTTCCCGTGGACTAACAAATCCAGGAAACCATTTTAAGAAGCCATGACTGCCCTCACGCGTCTGCTTTCAGCAAGACATTTCACTTCCAGATTCATTTGCGATATATGTATAATTTCAATGAGCACTGTTCCGTCACAATCTTTCATTAGAACATCACTGGCTGAGGTCCGTTTACTCCAGGGATTTCTCTTCGATTCCACTTGGTTATCCTTCAACTTGAATCTGAATATCCTCGTTCCCGTCTTGGCTATCTTACCTCATCGCGAGCAGAATTTCTGATTTATCGCTATGGTTCTTAAAATGAATGTTTGTTCATGTGACAAGGTATAGTAAGTTCTTTTAGAGAGACGCTTACGTGGTGGCCTTTCATCAGCGGTATGGGGTGCCATCAGGTGGCCTGCAGCGGTATGGGGTGCGTGACACCAGAGGCCCAGTAGTTTTGTTCTAATTGTTCTGAAGTTCTTGCATGGGGCCGCTCTATCCCTGAACACTTATTGTGGAAGTGTTGTGATAAATCCAGCGTATTTTATGAAACCAAGTGAGCGTTTGACCCGAACATGCTTTCATAGACCATCATGCTGTGTATTTCATGTGTCGTCCAGCATGGTGTATTATAGCACTAGAAATGTGACTTTAAACAGTGTCTCCTCAGGCAAAGCAAACTGGTTTTGCACCAAACGCTGTCGATATTCTTGGTTGCACACACTATGTGATGTCCTGTATATGATGTACAGAGGAACTGTTTTAAATGCATTCAAGAAACCATCCGATTACTGTTTTGTTTCGAAATCTGTCGCTAGGGTGTGTTTTTCTTTTTCCTCTTCGGTGTTGTCCTCTGCTTTATCTTCCATAGCTTTGTATTGGCTTGCCGTCACAATGCTTGCTGGTTTTTTAACTTTCACTAGGTCCGTGAAACTCTTAAATGAGTCTTTGGAGTCTCTCAATCCAAAATCTCAACTAGACGCTCTCGGTGGATCTCAGGCGGTTCCCTGGTCGTTTGCTGCTGATATTTTGTCATATTTTCACACAAAGTGATTTTAGCAGGTAGATTTTTAACAGGCTCTGCTAGAATGAGAGACGAAAGACAGGTGTTCGGAGGATTACGGTAACTCTCATGTGTAAAGTCACAATGAAAAAAGCAACAACAGCAGTACACTGAATACTGAGAGAAATGGGCTTTAAGTTACACATCCAATATATTCATCAATATGTCATTTGGTATTAGGAACATTGGGATGTTTGAGTCACGCACAACAACTTTCTGAATTGTCATGCGTTCAAACCTGAAAAATTTGGAACATTTTTTAATCTCATTTTTGTCATTTAAGAAAGAATCTCAGTACGGATCATGAAAATTGTCACATGCATTTTGTGCTAGTTTCAAATGGTGCTCAGTTGACATGCTGTGATTTGTTGGAAAGAGGATGCAGTGCACTATTGCATGCTTTGCGTCATTTACACGATGGACTACCACCTTTTTCCAGTTGAGCTTCATCCCAAGTGTTTCTCAAAAGACAATTTGTCACAAAGTATCAGGCCCCGGTACTTAAAGAATGTTTACATTTTTTTGAATGGCTTTGTTTGGAATTTTTTTTTTTTGCTGTATCACCCAATTCCACCTGTTCTTTCTTGGACTGTTTCTCTTATGTAAAGTGTACATTACCACGTTTCTTTTTTTATACAATACTGTAACTTGCCTTTGTACATTTAGGCAAAAAAAATAAATAAATCTTTTTATGAGACAATCACATCTGTCCTTGCGTGGCTCTCTTCTGTTTTATAATCATTAAAAAAATATTTTAATTTTGCTTTTCAATAAAAAGTTTTTTTTTCAGTTTTTTTTTTTCAAAACAGAAGACCCTTTTTCAGGTAAATTATCATATTGAACACTGTAAGATCCAGTTACCACTAGAGGACACCCACTTCCACTCTATCAAGGTTTTTTTTATTTATTTATTATTATTTCATTTATTCTATTCATTCCTTCTATAATGTTTAACCAACGTATCTTAATGACTTTCCCTAATCGTTCATGAATTCTGGATAATGTTAATAAAGCTTTTCATAGAGTTTATGCAATTTATAGCCAATGAAACACTAGAAAATTGTAAATGCTCTGTAGAATTGTCATTGACTTTTTAAGAATTATTTTCCATGGTATATCCAGGCCTCGTTTATTTTTAATTCTCTGATGTTTCCAAGATTTCCATTACTGTGGGAATGCTGTTAACCATTTAAAAATGAGTGTTTATACGTTTATAAATGTGACCGGCTCAATTGCTGGAAATATTGCAAAGCTTCACCATTAAATATCTTGGATGCATGAAATTCCAAATCCTTAGCATTTTAATTCACCTGACTTAATATTGCTCTAATGCTGTTAGACAGTCATATGACAATGAAATGTCTGAAAGGGTAATTGTTTTGAATTGAGTATTTGCGTAGTAAGAACCATATAGTAAGAACCATAAAGCCCTTTCAGCTTGTGTAAAGTGCTTTGTCTGTAACAAAAGGCGCTTTTTATGTGCAATGTGATGCAGATGTGGAGATTATGCAAGGATGATTTTGTTGAGTGTAAATATAAAATCTGATTATCGCTGCTGGGAGGGGTTAGGGGGAGGGGAGGGAGATGCTGAGGCAATAACTTTTCCTCTGATATCCTGCAAGGGCATGGAAGTACACTTTTCCTCTTGCTGCTTAGCAAGTGTGCATCGGACAGCTGGGATTTCATGGGATGCACTATATACGCAGCCAGTTCTGAGGCTCCTTCAGCGGAGGGGCCTGAGCCACAGAGACGCCCCCATGGTCACAGCACCAGGACCTGTCGCACCCGTGACCGGTGAGGCCACAATGCATTTCTCCCAGACTGCCTCAAGAGTCTTGTGTTTTATAATGAATTGATTGCTCAGATGCCACAATAGTATGTGTACTGTCTGTTAGCCTATTAATGCTGAACTTTAAGCTATTAAAAACTCAACTGATCTCTGTGTAGTTTGTGTTCATTGTCAAACTGTGAATGTCCCCTTTCATTTAGGCTGTATTTGTCTGTGCTTTATTACTAGCAGTTCTCAAATTTAGTGCATTTTCACTTTGGATTTGATCTGCTTTCTTGTGTAACCTAGGCCTACATCTTTTTGAATTTACACAATCTTTACTATGTACATGTTATCTTGGTTTCAAAACAAGGTAGAAATATTTCCAACAACTACTAAATGAAATAATCTTATTTTTTTTTAAATTGTATGTTTTCTTTGACAGTAGGCTACCTTATATGAAACATTTCAAATACAACCTCTCGTGTTAAACTGTAATTTTCATACACGTCTGCATAGGACAAGAATATAAGAATTTGTCAGCCATTGTCTAAAGTGGCTGGACTGGGAAAATTAACGAGCAAATGGGTTTTGTTCAGATTCTACATCATGTCAGTCAGTCTGTAGTGTGTGTGTGCGAAAGTTCATAATCCGGCGAGAGTTCCCGAAGCTTCTAATAACAGCACGAGTCTGCAGACGCTACAGCTCTCATAAAACATCACACTAGCGCTCACTATCACACTTAATGACCCTTTAGAACCTCGGACTCCCCGCTAATGATGGCTTTTTATTTACACTGATATACCTCTATGGGACACGTCGAGCGAGGGTTTGGATATTTCCTGTCAGTCAGGTACGTGTCAGCTAGCGCTGTTTCTCTACTCACTATATTGGCGAACGTAGTGACGTCTGCTGTTATGAATTCAGATATTAATGCGCGCTGCACGCACAGGTTTAGACTGTTGTTCACTTGGATTTTGGTGCATGCGTATTCATTTGATTTCTGGTAAAGATTGGCACTTTATTTGATCAGTGTGATTTAATTGTCGGCGACGTTAAAGTTACATTGATTTACATTCATGAGTAAATTAGTAATTTAGATTTAATTCCAAAGTATGAGTCACGTACAAGCCAAGAAATATCAAAATACTATGCACATCTGTGACTGCACACTAATTAACTTAATTAATGTTAGCTATGTTAATGTGCCAAGTTGCTATGTTGCCTGGCAATCGTTTGGCGTAGACCCAAGTTTTATTATTCATAAAAAAAATCATAATATGACATTTATATTTACTATGTTAGATCCCTATCATTTTATAAAGGAATTCGCTTGAGCACTGCATTAGTGATTTCACGACGGTTACAGAAGTAGGCGGCTATAAAATTACTTTATTTACATTTCACGTCACACCAACTTTAATTTAAGCAGAGCTGTGTACTGTACACAAAGTCAATGTAGGTTAGCTTTTACTAGCTACACAATTAAACACCATAGATATTTTCCTTTAGGTTGTACCAAACACTGGACAGAATATTTTTATTCTGCAAGTCATTTTAACTAGTCAAAGCAATATCCACTCCATATAAACTCTATATAAAGCGCTAGCCTATATGTTTATAAATAGTAAGGGCAGTGGAGCAGGCCAGCAGGAGACTGTAATGTAGGTCACTCACAGGGAGAGTCCACTTAGTCCACTGAATTTTTTACAATAATGTCACCATATGTAATGTGCATGAGATATGAGAGTTCAGTGTTTTAAGAACTTACTACAACAACCACAGTTTTTGCCAAAATACCAGCAGTGATGGTATTAGCCATAATCAAAAATAAGGTGACACCTCAATAAATCTAGTAACTTGAGTATTTTGGCAGAAAAGGTGTTCCAGCATTGTCAAAATGAAACAAAGAGCGGCTGTCCTCATTTCCCCAAGTGTTTAATTGTTTAACCCTGACTGTTACTAACAAAAGACATCACACAGGTGTCTTCCAACTCACTTGCATGTCCCCATAATACAATTTGGATACAAAAAATGGCATAATGTCGTGTGAATGGCTTGCAAAGTATCCATCAGAAAGCTCTCTTGTGTGACAACTGCCTGGGGTGCAGTTACAGCCCACAGATGTACATGAGAATGGGCCCATTAGCCTCCTGCAGTACAGCTGCCTCTCTGTTATTGCTGTGAACCCCCCTGAGGGCCCTTTACACAAATACAGCCGACCTCCTGTCATTGCCCTCTGTAAACCATTAACATTAACAAATTATAGCAGATATATATTTTCTATTTATTTATTTTCATATTTAAGTTACTATTAAGTTACTACTATATTAGCTATACAGTATGTCTAATTATAAAGCCAAAATGCATTAATTTTAGATTAGTATTATATTTTATTCCTTTATTTTTGTGTATGTGCTTCAAGTTTGAATGATGCTATTAGTTAACTGGTTTTAACTACCAGGTTAATAGTTTAGACACATTTAGACACAAAATTCCATTTTAAATGGTGTGTTTAGAGCAGTGATGGGCAAACTTGGCCCTTCCAGGCCACTTTCCTGCAGAGATTTGATCCAACCCTGATATGACTCGCCTGCCTGTAGCCTTCTAGTAGTCTCGAAGACAATGATAAGCTGGTTCAGGTGCGTTTGATTAGGGTTTGAGCTAACCTCTGAAGGAAAGTGGCCTGGAAGGGCCAAGTTTGCCCACCCCTGGTTTAGAGCAAAAAGGCTTCCTTTTTTTTTTTTGCAGCATGTGCCAATTTTGTAATCAGTGTTGTTGCCAGGTAGCATAAAATTGGCCGTGTGCCTTTAAGAGAGGCTTCTGTGCCTGTAGGCTAAAGTTGATTTGGCTAAATGGATTAGCAGTTATCTTTGGCTAAATGGATTAGCAGTTATCCTGTGATGTTACAGCGTAGTAAATAGGCACTAATATTGAGAGAAAGAAGAGGGGCCCTGATTAAAGGCACAGCAGCACAAAATGCCCTGCTTCATTCTTAAGGATCAGAGAGATCTGAAAAACTAAATTAAAATGAAGAAAATATTAATAATTAAATATGTGTGATATGACCCCTTAAAGCACAGAAAACATAATTTGGGTAACTGTCGTACCTTTACCATTATCATGCACTGGCAATTGAATCCTCTTATCTATGTATTTTTCTTTGTATTTTTCAAAACATGGAATGTTTGCAGACCTTGCACTTTGCCCTCCTCTCATTTCTGTCCTGTAGATGCATTTAGCACTATGCCAGCAGCATAACTGCTAGTTAAGCGGTTTGCTGGTGCAGCACACCAGCTGCGTATGTGCGACGTAGCAGCGTGCATTAAGTCTCTGGGGTGCATTAAGCAGAGGATCAAATGGTGTGACCTTCAAAAACAGGAAACGGTCTGTCAGTTGCACACACAGATGACTCGAACTCCAGCCTAATGAAGCTTCCCAATTAAAGATAACAAGGGAGAGAATAGGCCCCAGCAGCATGCAGTGTTAATGGTGACAGTAGTGCAGCAGTGGTCCATTTATCACACCTTTTTAATTGTACCCCAGAAATAGCAGGCGCTTTTTTGCTGTGGGAAAAGACTAAATTTCCATGTTTGCTTATTAGAAGTGTGTATGATGTGTTGTTTTGTGTGTATTGCAGGCTTAAGACCATGAGTGATCATCAGGATCAGGCTGAAGATGTCGGCCTCCTAACGCCTCATGATCAGTCAGAGCCCTCAAAGGACGATGACATGCATTTCAGGCAAGTTATGACTTGACTGGTAAAAGTAGACTCCACTTCACCTTTGTATATTCTGGTTTTAATCTATTTTGAAAGTTTAAAGTATTTTGTGGTTTATGCTAGCAGGCGGCATCTTGTCTTAGCGGGTAAAACTGTTGCC